TCAAATTGTAACCTCCTGATTCGTAGGTCAATGCTCAACCACTGAGCCACACCAGCTGGGTGCAGTACAGAATTTGAACAGTGCCCCCTGTGGTTGTCAAACAAGGTGGCCCTCTTTGAATATCCAGGAGGTACGGTGGTTCTCCCACCACGGCAATATTTGACACACACAGGAGCTGTCAAGAAGGAGTGACCATTGGCCTTCTGATGAAAGCAGTGTTTTTCTGATTGCTTCCATTCAGAGTGCAGTCCAGTTTTTGTGACCAATGTTATAGAACCTTTCATTTGTAACCCAAAGATGGCTGTTCCGACCCGTGACAAGATTGCAGACACTTTCAGGCCTCATACCACTTTGTGTATTTTCAAGTCTCATTCCCCTAGTGCCATCCTGGCCGTGTTTTTCTCTGGATTTAAATGTCATGCTGTAAAGCCAGAACTTTCTACCTTCTCTGAAGTACTACCAAAGGGATCATTTGCTTTCTAATTTACCAAAATGAAACTAGAGACAATTTCCAGTGTGCCACATCTTGGTGATATGTTGGGTTATTTTGAAAGCAAGTCGATAATTTCATCTTAGGGGGCTGTGGATTTTATCATGCTTATTTTTCTCATCTCATGCTACCTACTTTGTGCTGCAGAAGAAGGGAAAAAAAACTGAACCTATTTTACATAACATCTGCTTCCATTGTGTTATCTAGAAAAGGCAATTCTTTTTCTAGTAGTGTATAGTTCGTCCTTTTATTTTTCTGAGTTTATTTCATTAAGATATTGGCTGCTCCCTCCTGTCCTGTACCTTCCCTGTTTTCCGTCTCAGATGTGGAAGCTGGGATGGCTTCCATATTCCCAGTTTCCATATGTCTTCCATGTCCAGCTTCAGTGCCTGGTGCACCTCGGCCCTGTAGCCTTTTGGCTGTCATTCACCCCACAATAAGCAACATTTCCTTCTCAACTGCCATTATCCCTGCAGATAGATTTCTTTCCTCATCAATCCTTCCATACCTCTCATTGTAGGGTTTACCTTACGTTTTAAGATTTTTGGGCATGCTCACTAAATTGAGTGACTAAGTATAATAATTTGTCATCCTAACCAGCACAGTTCTGAGAGGAACAGCAGACAGTCTCAGACTGTCCCAGGCTAACCAGAATGTCTGGTCAACATTACTTCTACAAGGATCTCCAAGACAGAGACACCTGGACACTCAGGACATCAGTGTGCTCAGTAAATATCCAATAAGTGAGGCCTTGACTTGTGAAATTTCTGAAGCAACCAAGTCCTCTTTGAGCATTTTCCTGCCGACAATCAATGACCATAAATCACGTGTACAGTGCCAGCAACCTCACCCCACCACCCTTTCCCTCACAAACACATCCCTCCCAATGGTTTTGTTTTCCACTGTTCATTTTGGCCTGAAACAGTGTTCACTCAAATCCCATTTCTAAAGGTTTGAGTTAAAATGGTAGTCAAGGCATGCTAGCACTTAACTGTATGCCAACACAATGCTTAGTTATTTAGTTAATTTTGAAAATATTGTACTTTCAACCATACTTCTTAGTTATTTAGTTGACTTTTGAAATATACTCATCTTTGAAAATGACTGGGCAAAGCATAGTTTAATATTGTTGTAGGCATTTCAATAACAGTCCTCAGTGTTCTGGCAGTGCTCATTCTTGACAGTTAATGGCTAGCAGGACCATTAAAGTGTGTTATTCACACAGTGGAAGGTCTCCTAGTGTGTGATCCAGGTCAGGGTACAGCCTGCTCCCATTTCCCCAACGTGTTTGACTAGAGTGGCTTTTGTACTTTTAAATAATCCATTCTATATTGGTAGACTGTTTCTTCTCTCCTCCCCTTTTTAAAGAATTTTTATGAGTTTATTTGAGCCAAGGTGATGACAATTGCCAGGAAGCAAAATCTCAAAGGACTGAGAAAATGCTCCTTCCTTCTTTTTTAACAGTGCAGTTTCCTTAGGAGACTCACAATGAACTCAACCTTGCCAAGTGGGAGGGAGCCGTGGCTTTTATGAATATTCCTGTCCCTACTTGGTCTCTGCCTGTACCAGGCTTTGTGATTAACTCTGACCAATCTTACTGCTCTCCCAGTAGGCCCAGCCCAGAGTCCTTTGTTGTCCTAAATATTTCCTGAAAGGTCTTTTATTAACTTTTCTTTTCTGCTCTAATTTTTCTCCCTCTTACCTACTTTAGCAGGTAGCCCTATAACAATAGTGAGAGAGAAAAAAAACATTCTAGTAATATGATTAGCTGAAGCAACAACTGGACTTATGTTCTCTATTTAAAAAAAAAAGAAACTTACAAATTTCACCAGTTTATTTCTTGCTAAATGCTTATTAAAATGACACAATAAAGTGGTTGAAGAGAACCAGCTTTTACTAATTTAAATCTTTCATGGTAAATGTTAGTTGGGAGGAGAGCAAAATTTCTTTGTTTTTAATTAGCTAGTTGTGTTATTTTAGGAAAAAATAAGGCAGGAGGAGAAAGGATTGTTAGTTTTCTTTATAATAATAGTTGATTTCTGTGACAGTTAATTGGAGTAGTTTGCTATTGGGAGAGGTTGTTGTCTGCTAGTTTCAGTTTGCCCCATCTTTCTTGATAATAAAACCCCTAATTTTAGCTGGCATATGGTCACCTGGAATATAGACTGCATTTCCCTGCCTCCCTTGCAGCTAGGCATGACTGTATTACAACATTTTGATTAACTGCTTATAAGTAGAAGTGCCATGTGCAACCTCTTGGAAATTTTCTAAAAAAGGAAGGCTTTTTTTTTTTTTTTCCTTCCTTTCTGTCCTTCTGAAGGGAATGCAGACATGATGGCTAAGCTCAGGCAGCCATTGAGGACCATGAGATGGGATCCATGCATTGAGGATGATAGACACCAGGAACCTCTGGATTGCCTGTGTATAAATAAGGGAGAAACTTCTGTTATGTGTAACCTTTGTTATTTGTGGCTTGATCTCACATGCGGTTGATCGTAGTCTCAACTGATCTGTCTGTGAATCCATTTCATCTTGTTTGGTCGGAGGGCAGCTCTTTGATTGTTTTGTTTTTTTTTGTCAGACTATATAACATAGAGATAAAGGAATGCTGTGTTTGGTGGACAAGAAAATCTTGACTTTCATAAGCAAAAAATGTATGAGATCCTCTGCAGTGTCTAAAATCTTAAATGTCATGTGACAATTACACATCACAAACATGCTTTTCTCCTTCCTCTTTGCCTTTTTCTTCCTCCTTCTGTAGTTGTTCAGTTCTAAAGCCAGTAGGTGGGACAGAAAAAGAGAGGTGTTCAGATTTGGGGGCTTGATGGCCCACAGCAGGTGTTGGAACCTGAGTGGGATGAGGGGGCATCTGTCCGGAGTGGCAAACCTGGCTTGAGTGGTTTGAAGCGAGGCAGGGTGAGGAAGGTGAGGGCAGAGGAGGAGGTTGAGTCTGAGCAGGGTGTGATGGTGGAAGGAGGAGATAGGGGGAGATCAGTTGCTGCATTCCTACATTGGATGGCTGAAAGAACTCAGAAGAATCCACAACATACATGGTTTAGCAGGAGTAAAAAACATGGTGAGCCTCAGGGGTCTGGGAGGCTCACTAGTGATTCCCTACGATGGTTTTTTTTTAAGCTGCTCAGAACATCTTTTGTCTCCAGATATGAACCATCAAGATATGTGGAAGAATCAGGGTTTCAGGGAAGCCCAGCCAAAAATGTCCAGCAGTGTCCTTATGCCCGACTGGTCAAGTACCTGTAACCAGGTGTAAGCCATCAATCTGCATGTCCCTCAACATGTAGAAGTTGGCTCTGGGGACTTCGGAGGCAATTTCAGCTTTAAATGCAAAGGTACACATCTCTAGCCAACCTATTGTCCTGCTTGTGACCAAGAATCTACCAGACTTCTGGTTTCCCTGCAGATAAGCATAAGCTATAAGATAACTCGATGCAGTTATGTATAGAAGTATCAATGAAGTAAGCAAGTAGGTTAAAGGCAATGGAAGTCAGAGGTCTCACTATTAGGGAAGGGGATTACAAACATGGAAAGGAAGAAAACTTGAATGAACTGTGTCCTGTATTGAAATCAGATTTGTTGGTGTGAATTCATGGTTTTCAATACTATAAATAGTGAAGTGAACACAGGTGTGTGTGTGTGTGTGTGTGTGTGTGTGTGTGTTCATTCATGTGTTCTCTAGTTCTGTCCACTGAGAGGGGCTGAGAACATTGAGCTCCTAGATGGCAATGAGCTCATCTAGAGCCCAGATTATGGCTTATGTATGCATTTTCCACAAAAAGGAACTAGAGCTCATTCTAGAAATGGCTGATTCCAGGGCTTTGGCAGAAAAGTATCAGAAGAACTTGAATATCTTGTGCAGAACGCAAGGGTGTGCTCAGTTTGATGGGACTTGCCAAAGGGGCTTAGCAGCCAGGTTAGATGGGCACACATTGGCCAACTGGGACAGTTTAAACAACATACATACTACTAGTAGTAATTTTAGATTATAACCCATTGACTGAGGTAGGTCAAAGCTATACAAGAATAAGTAAGTAAATCATGATTTTCAACAGCAACACCATTGACAGTTTGGATTGGATGAGCCTGTTGTGTGATCTTTTTGTCTTGGTGTGATGGTTTGTTAGCTTGGGTGAGGGCTTTGTGCCTTCCACACTCTTGGCTGGTTCTCTGACTGGCACAGTTACTGAGATGGATCACTGAGGCTGGGCCAGCAGAAACCAGCTCTGCAAGCAAAGCTGACTGGCCCTTAGAATGTCTGATCCCGCTCATTAATCTCATTAGCTCCAACTTGCTGTGCTGATTGCACTGCTAATTGCATGACTTTTCTTAATTTGATTTAACATTTACCGACAGTGTTATATGAATCCTTGAGTCATTTTTGTAAGAGGTAACACTTCAACCTGTGAAAATAATTTAGCACTTTTCATTGTAGGAGTGTAACTATAATTTGGGTACATTAACTAATTGTGTGATTTTTTCTTTTCTTTTACAGTCTCCTTATCCCACATCACACAACTGGTTCTCAGCCACAACAAGCTAATAAGTGAGTTGACTTTCCCATTTGTTTCTCAGTGTCTGCCTTGTAGGAAATGTGGTGATACTGCTGACTCTCTTGTTTCCTTTAAAGACACATGTTATTTGGGGAATTCTAAAATTTATTTTGGTGACACTAAGATACATGAGCATATTGTCTTCCCATATTTTGTACATTGCTCTATTTTGAGGATTCTTTCCTATTGAGTGTATAAGCTGAGGAAAGAAAGTGACATTTTGTTTCTGTGGAATTAGTCCCATTTAGAGATGATAAATGCTGCAGTGACCTGAACTGCTGGGCCATTCATTAATATTTCATGAAAAAAAAAAGTATAAAAACATAATTAAAATAAGAGTTTTTTGCTTTCATCTATATTTCCTCTTCAAAGGGGAAAAATTTACCTGTTGATGTACTTTCCTTCCCTGCTTAATGTGTGTGTGGGTGGGTGGGGGGAGAGAAACCACAGAGTTGCATGAATTACATATATTTGAATCTGCATTTTAAACAATTCTGGAGTCTGGTTTCTATTGGACATCAGTATCATGGTATAGTTAACATATGATAGGTTTAATACCGGCTCTTATAAGAATATCTTGCATGAATGATATGGACCATTTTATTTTTAGCTGTGGCTTTAAAGATTTTTTAATGACAGCGCCCCACTCTCCTTTTTCATTCCTAATTGACTGTCACTTCTTTGTGCTTGCCATATTTCCTGCAGCCTTGAGTGATTTTCTAATCATGTGGCAAGAATTTGTTCGGGAGCTTTCTGAGTCCGATGAAATTGAGCAGAATGTCATCCTGAGGGATTTGTGTCATGAATTTATGGGCATTATGTACAGCTTGAAGCAATGTCACAGAGCTGTTGATTATTGAGAATCAGGAGTGGCAGGGCCTCTCATGTGCAAGAGACAAGCAGATTAGTTCATTTTTAGCAAAACGTGCATATTTGTAAGGCAAAGGCAGAGTGGCACAATTGTCACATTTTAGTAGTAGGGGCCACAGAAGCTGAAAGTGAGGGCAACAAGTCCCTTGGGGTCGTTTTTGTATCAGGTGACATGCAGCTGTCTTTATTGTTTTTGTAGCAAATAGTCCTGCTGTCCACTGAGAATCTAATCCCAGTCAGAGGGTATTGCTGTTTGTTTAGAAGGGTGGACGGCATGATCCCTGATTTCCCCAAGATTTTGTGAGCAGAAGTCCTAAAGCTTTATACTCCGTAGTTCATAAAAATATTTCTTAATTGCCACTCTTATCTTATGCATCATCATTAGAATGAAACACTTTACATTTAAACAAGAAAGCAAAACTTGCTTTATTCATATTATTTAATTAATTGATGTATTCTTTTAAAATATCTTTCAGATGATTGTTTATTTCTTATATACTTCTACAGAGATAGAAATCGCATGTGTCCATGGATCAGTTTTTTCTCCAGGCATTTGATAGGAGATTAACTTAGAGACATAAAAATATAGACTTAAAAGATTGACTTTGAATCGATCCAAACTTCATATTTCTTCTACTGTTTTTTTCCCCCCCCCTTCTTCTTCTTTCCTCATTTGAGACACTCTTATCCAGTAAACTCTAATTAATCATCTTGGTAAATTCTGTTTCATGCCATTGTGAGTAGTGTCTGTGACACCCGGTCTGTCCCACTAAGGTCAAATTAGCATCTTTTACTGTTTTTCTGGCATTTAAATGAATGACTTCAGAATGGCTTTCCAAGTGTTTATAGTAAATATGTCCATTTGATGGCAATATAAATATGCATTATGTGTATGTGGCCGAGCACATCCTCCTGTCATGTTTTATTGTAATCAGTGTCTTTCACTTTCTGTGTTTTTTAATAGGGCCCTCAGTAGTGTTTTTATCTTGCAAAAGTGTTTGTGTTTATCTCTTTGCATGCCAGTTGCACTGAACTCTAAAATTCCCTCTGTGGACTTATGGGATGACTGACTGGCTTACTCAAACTGGGGCCCTGGGCCGGGCCACCGATTCACTCCACGCATTTGAGTTAGTATCTGTGGGGACACTGTGATGCTGCATTAGTTAACTTTCTTTCCCTGCTGCTAGTTTTGATATTGACAGGCCCACTTGACACAGTACCAGTGAGGCTGTGAGGAAGGTGAAAGTGGGCTGATAGTCTTTAAATTCTCAAGATTTTATGAGCATAAATTCTTGATGCTTTCTAAATTACAATTCATAGAAATATTTCAAAATTGTCAAGGTAATCAGTGATAGAGTTTCATCATTACTACAGTGACACTACTGAAATTTAAACCTGGGGCATGGGGCAATGCTGATGAGTTTTGAAAACAGGGAAGTCAGTGGCAAATGGCCCTGCCTGCAGCCACTTTCCTTGATGCATGCATGACTAGGAGTGGGGAGGCAGAATAGCCAAGGACCATTTCCTTCTGCTATGACTGGACAGGTACAATCTCAGAACCCAACAGTTTCCTTTCTGGCCCAAGGGGAATGGTTTCGGAGTAAAGATGAAGTTTATCACCAGACCAACCCTTCAGAAACTCCACTTTCCCTGCGATACCACACATATCCTGTAGAAGGCACTGCTTGCCTTTCCAAACCAGCTCTGCTCTGGCCCCCATCCTAGCCAGCCTTTCCTCACTATGTGCTGCCACAGGAAGATTCCTCTCCCCCTCAGGTGCCTAGCCCTGCTCTGTTCTAGGCCACCTTGTCTTTTCCTCTCTATTCTGCAGTGGCCTTGCCCCCACCCTCCTCTCCAGGCTCCCAGACTACCCTGGCCAACTTGAAATCTTTCTTCCCCAAGTTCCTACCTACTCTTCATATTATAGATTCTTTAAACCAATGTCGAACATCCTGTCTGAGTGTTTCATGTTCCTTCTCTCTTTCCAAAAATCTTAGGCTTTATTGAAAGCAGGACTGTGTCCTCAACTTCTTTCATGTCTTGTTCTTGCTGAGCACACAGTGGCCTCCCAGTGATGACCTGTGCAGAGCAGCAGATGGATGGTGGCAGTCCGTGACGGGGAGGAAAGCTGGCTTGAGGTGAATGGTCAGTGTAGGAACTGGACATTTTCAGACTTTCCCAGTAAGTGTGGTCACCACAAACTTCTATTTCTAACCCATGGGCCCATTTCAAACATGCTGGACTGTGAGAGCTGTGAAGAAACTTTATCTTATGTCCTGGAAATTGGTGTCACATCATCGCGTCATCGTTGTAATCACTGGGGCCCTTTCAGTCCTGAGGAATGATGTTGGGGATGGCATTCCTCACAGACATCTTAGGACCCGGGAGGGCAGGCTGGCACCATGCCCTGCCGCTCATGGTTCTCCCCTTGAGCGACCTCGTGGGTCTCCTTTTACCATCCTAAGTCTCGCTTCTTCTAGGCCCAGGACTCTCACTTAAAAGTTAGTTTCATATTCTGTATTTAAGGTCCCAAGTTATTTGCTAATTTCTTCATAAGAATTAACTATTTTAGATGTTTCTTGAGGTGAAGAGCCCTGTCTGATGCTATGTATTCTACCCCCCACAAAAGTGCCCAAAGCATGGTGAGCATGAAATACCGTGTTTCCCTGAAAATAAAACATCCTCCAAAAATAAGACCTACTTACAGGTTTCCTTCTGAGTGAAATATAAGGCATCTTCCTGAAAATAAGGCCCCCCCTAGGAGTCACAAGAAATTCACCAGGAAATTCAGGAATTGGATTGTTATGATGATGTTCCAGAAGATGATGACATGCTTGTCATTGAATAAATGAGTAAATTCTTGATACTGTAGGATTCATAGTTTGTCTGGTTTGTGTTGACAACTACCATACTTCCGTATCGTATACAGGTAATAAATTTCCATTATTTTCATTTAACAATAAATGTGTACTGTATTCTTCTTCATGGAAAAATAAGACATCCCCCGAAAATAAGACCTAGAGCATCTTTGGGAGCAAAAATTAATATAAGACACTGTCTTATTTTTGGGGAAACAGGGTAGGTTCTCAGTTCATACTGATGGAGCATTAGATTGGTAGCTGATGGGTAATACCAAGTCCCAGCAGACCGAGATGATGCCCCAGGAAAGCTTTGGGCTTCTAAAGAAGGGAACATAGCAACTATTCCAGTCTGTCTTCCTCAGTCTCTGCCCTGCTGCCTTTGTGATGATCTTCTCTTGTAAGCCAGTGTTATCGAAGTCTTTTCAGTCTACTTTTTAATCTTATCCTTGCTACTGCTTACAGTGTTTGGAAGTGTTAGTTTTGTAAATGTTTTCCTGCTCCTTTTCAGGCTTAGAAAAAAAATTTGAAACTATCATTTCAACACGTGTCCACTAGAGGTCAGTGTTGAGATAGGTATTTTTCCCCTTTTCTGGTCTTGGGCCTAACTAAAGATTAAAAACCAAAATGGTATCAGATGAAATTTTTTGCAAGCTTTTCAGCTCTGTTCAACAGGGCATATTGCTTTTTCCATTTACATTTTAGTTTACCATAATTAAAGTAGACTGAACGATGTTATTTTTCTGTTTTGCTCCTAAATTTGTACTTTCATTTTCACACATCATTTTTTAGTGTTATAATGGCTACTCTCTCAAGTTAGAAACTTTTTTTCCAATATCTTTTCATTGGAAGGATTTTGTCTTCTGCAATATTTTTGTTGAGTATATGTGATTTTTTCCCCCTGTAGAAGAAAGTTTAAAATATGTATAGATGTATGTAATCAGATTGAATTAAAAAAAAAAAACCGTGAAAATCAGGAAAATGAATATTTATATTGATTCTTATATCAATCATTATCTAAGAAAAAATACTGTACATTATTAAATGAATTATATTCTGCATAAGTAATAAAATAATCCCTGAGCATTAATTTTCTTTTTTTTTTAAATTAAAAAAATATATACTTTATTGATTTTTATTTATTTTTATTTTTATTTTTATTTATTTTTATTTTTATTTTATTTTTTTTTACAGAGAGGAAGGGAGAGAGATAGAGAGCTAGAACGTCAATGAGAGAGAAACATCGACCATCTGCCTCTTGCACA